CGGATTTGAACTTTTCATCGGCATCACACAAACTACAGTTTTCCGTAGTTTTCGTCGATTTTAACGGTAGCCACTTTTTTCATATAATTAGTGCGTGGTCCTTTGATAAAATTTTACAGGCATGTAGTATCCACTAAACATAGTCGAAACCCATAGTGTTAAGTTCCGCAAATGCTTAGTTTCCGAGAAAAAATTTAATTTTTCGATCAAATTAACGTCTTTCATGTTCTTGTAATAAAAAAATAGTATATTGTACAACTAGTGGAAAAAGTAGTCGATTCTGAATGAAAGTGAAGTTGGTTGCACGAGCGAAGCGAGTGCGATTATCACACTCATTTGGGCTCGACCACTCTTCCCACGAGTTGTTCATACTATTTTTCTTAACAAGAGCGTGAAACAGGTCGCTTTTCGCGCTTGTTTTACAATTTCATTTCTCCACTAGTTGAGAAATGGCTCCATGTTTCAACGCTTACGTCATCATTGCGAAATGGATCGTTTTGCTCACTTAAAACAAGCGCGAAAAGCGGCCCATTTCACGCTCGCGTTAGGAAAAAATTATATCTCACTCTATGAATTGAGAATAACATTAGAAAAAAGATAACCAATTGTTGTGTGGATATGAAAAAGTGCATGCGTGGATGGAGTAAGTAGGTTCCGCCCCCTGCGGGGGCTCGACTACCATTAAACTAGACACATAAGTGTGCCTTGCAAAGTACATGGGTGAACTTTCCACGCGTGGAAAGTTGTAAACCCATGTGGCACCCCTGCAGTGGGCGATATGGAGTGAACCTCGTTTCGCGTGGAAAGTTGTAATGAGTTTATCACATACTAAATCATAATTTTATAAAAATTAGAAAATAATTAAATAAAAATTTAAAAAATGCTTAAAGTTTTAATTTTTAATAGATTTATTATGTCTTTAACCAGAATATACTTCTTTAATTCTCTGAAATTAATTTTGAAAAAGATCTAAATTGTGTTTGACTATATACAACTTTATTTCAACATTTTATGCCTTTATCTTTCTCATCAGTAAAAATCAATTTAAGGGCATTCATTTGGTGGAGGCCATTTGAAACATTTCCATCAAATAATACGTAAATTAAGCGTAGGAGGTTTTCGGAAGTTCATCCAATATAATCGTACTTTTATTTCGATTATAAATACTTAGCTTTTGATAGTCGACAGATTGTATTTCTCAATTTAATATAATATATTTATAATATAATTTTGTTAAGCAGAATAATAAACATAATAATTATTATTCTATTATTATTATTGTAATTATAATTATTGTTGCAAGACACAAAATTATATTCTATACGAATTGATATCGCGTTATTGGATCAATCGGGCTCACTTATTTAATTTCGAGCTGCTGTAGGTAGGTATGTAAAAAAAGAAATGTCACGACATTGTTTCACGATGACGCCATGCCTACTTCATCGCCGTCCTTGGCAGGCGCGTGATTGCTATATGGCGCGCTTAATTTATTTAACTTAAAATCTCAGAAAACACTGTCAATTTGCCTGCACGTGCTAAATGCTACATGACATCATATACTTCACGCAAATGCGAGATTCACGTAAACGACAAATACGGGTGAGAACAATGCTAAACGTAAATTGCATTCCTAGCAGATGTATGATGAAATTAAATTTTATTTATGTTTAATTACGTATTCGATGTTGAATACACGGAGAAAAATACGAAAGATTTGGTGCCATGAAAAGGGACGAGGTAAGTATAAACATTTTACCATCGCGTGAGAAATCCGTTATGACACAAGTCGAAGGAGGCCACGTGAATCCCCATTGTTGCAAATTCACGTTCTTTTCCGATTTACGTTTATAGCGGATTTCTCGTGCGCGGTATCGACGGTAAAGGATTTGCTTCTCGTCCAAACTTTCTCCGTTCACAAGAGAGAGAATTCCTTAAAAGCCTCTAGAAACTTGGAAACTTCTTTCAGAAATCGCCGACTCGTTTGCCCCGCCGAGGTTATCAGCTCGTCGTTCAAGCCTAAACTTAATAACTATTCAGGGAAATATGTGTTTACCGAGAGTAACGAGGTTGCTGGTAGCTCTCTCGCGATTGTACACCTGGTACAGATTCTCTTCTTCGGGTACACGCGTCGTCTCCATCGCGGGATCGCAAGAGAGGTCCGACACACCCACTATTTCAGGAACGTTGAACCCCGCGAGCGGGCGCGAGTTTCGGGCCGACCTCGGCGAGTAGGAGAAAGCGCGAAACCGGAGAGACAAATCTGCGAGTGAAAAAAAATCACAAAACTGAGGGTTCCGGCGCGACTTTTTTCACAAACGGCTCAGTTGGCGATTCTTCCACGGTTCTTCGCCTATTGCGTAATCAAATAAGTATGTAAAAAAAAGTTAAAGATGTAAGAAATAAATAATTATTAAAAACTTTCGTGGAAGATTTCACAAAGTAACTAACGAAAAATTGGAATTAAGAAAAAATGTATGTGTAACTCTGAGACGTTATACCGAGAAATGTAGCAGCGAATTAGTTCACCGAAGCGAAATATGAGAAAAACAAAGCGAGCCGAGATACCGTGACGCTCTATCGCGTGAAAGACTGACGCTGATAAGAAAAGCAAAGTGTTTATCGAGCTTTAATCAAATTTATCGCGAATTGCAGCGCCTATCGCGACAATTGTGTACATTCTGGGACATTACTATTGTTGTTATTGTCACCATCTCGTTGCGCGTCGTCGTCTACGCTTCGGAATACGGAAAGAGTTACAGAAATACGAGATAAATGCAAGAAACGTTGATCGAGTGCCGAGATCGAATCGTAATTATCGCACAAAAAATTCTCGAGAACGATAAAGTCAAAGTGCGGCTTTATATCGTTGTTTGCTTCTTTTCCCGTTCACCTTGCAGTAACTTACACTCTCGCCTTTGCTCGCGAGAAGTTCCAGACGATTTCGCGGCGAATTTTTCCACGCACTCCTGAGGAACAACACGTGTTTAACGAGGCGGGTGCACGCATGCGAGTGACGCAGTGCGCACGGGAACGTCGACGGGACTGATTGTCATTGAAGTGCGCAGGAAGGCGATACCGCGAACTGGAGGAAGGAACGAGACTGGAGAGGAGGAAGGACATTAAACAGGCATTAAGACGATAGTGGGGCATTCCCGTACGTTGGACGGAAGCTGCGGTGTTCAGAAGAAACGGACGGCTTATGCGGCTGGGTGTTCCGCGACGTCTGCTTACGAGGAAACCGATTACACCGCATACAAACACGCCGTAGCTTCGAGGAAACGTTCGGTTGTTCTAGGAGAAAAGGGGTCCTAGGGGGGAGAAGATATAAGGTGTCTTACTTTGCTCTTTTAGAGGAATTTAAGAACTTCTCAGTTCTCTGTAAATACTTATTTTAAATGTACTTTTAAGTAGCAATGGGATTAATATTTTTATTTTTGTGTATCTGAGCTAGTAAATTATCTTATTGGATAACTTCTATTAATGGTGAGTAATAATGCGCATTATATTGTAATTTCAGCTTAACCTCAAAAAGCTATATTAATTTTTTATTGATTACACACCCTCTTGTACCATGGAACGAAAGTGCTTCCTGTAAGAAAGGTAAAGAAAGACAGGTAAAGAAAGGTAAAGAAAGATAAAGAAAGGTTCAGCCCATGTAGAGGCTCAGTTAAAATTTTTTAAATAATTTTTTTAAAAAGAGTTGATATATTAATTTGAAATCTGTACACTTATTTTTTAAATACATGTAACATTTTCTTACTAACTATCATGTTTAAATTGAATTAGCC